GAAGCTATTTGGGCTGGAGCTCAAAGAAGTGTCAAATACAATCTTTTAGTTTGATGTTGTGTGTGTTTATTTGTTTCCTTAGGCTAAGAGGAAAAAGAGTAGAGAACCCTACCGCAAGACTCCAGTGGAAATATTTAAGGCTTAACCTGAATACTCAAATTATGTAAGATTCCTTTAAAACGTTAAAAAAAGATTTTTTTTGGAGAAAGACATAGCAGAGCGTATCCACTAAAGTTATTTAGATTCTTCTTCAAAGGGTTTACCTCCCAGATAAACTTCACTAAGTGGAGTCATCTCCTTTCAAGACCAGATAAAAAATAATGCAATAATAATTCCTTATCTTGAAAACAAGAAGCTGGCTAAGAATTTCCCACCCACAGTCTTGTGGGGGTATTCATTCCCTTATTCATTCATTGAAAGCCCAGTCTGCCTTGAAGTAAAAACCTAATTAAGCCTTCTTTATGTGTGTATATAAAAAGATCCCAACACACCCCTTCTGACCACTGTCCAAGTACAAATGCAGAACCCCCCAAGATCAAGGAGAAACTCTACTTCCTGATTCTATTGTACTGTAGACCTCCACAAAGGGACAAATTAAGACTGAAAAATGTCTTCTCTCTCTTTCTCTCTCTCTCTCTCTCTCCTTCTCATAAGACACCAGTGCTTTTCTTCCCACTGAAATTTCTCGAGCCTTTCCAAAAGTCAAAAGCAGCAGAAACCAGGCCAAAGCTTCCCCTTAGGGAGAATAACTTATGCCTTCTTTAAAGGCATTGCCTCGGCCTTCTTTCAGCACGGAATGTTTCCCTCCTTTACAACTGGGACCAAGAAGCACAATGAGAATGGAAGAAGCTACCCTCCACCTTCCCTCGCCCAAGAAGGCTCCCGGAGGCTTTTGGCGGGGCTGCCTCTGGAGAGCGTCCCTGTCGGTGCAGAGTACTCGGGAGGAGTGTTTGGAACAAACTGACGGATAAAAGGGACACTGACAGGTCTGCTGGTTGACGCCAGGTGTGTGAGTAATAGTGGTTTCAACAGTGTTTCAGCGAGGATCTTGGACACTGCGTACCTCAGTGGGCCCAGCATACATCATGGGAGACGGAAAGATGGCCACCACTGTTGTTTCAGGGTTCAGGACACCTTCCTCCAGCACTGCAGCATGCTGCTTCATCCGCCACATCAAAGGGACATCATCATCCTTTGTCCAGCCACCAAGAGGGTGCAGGAGGAGGACAGGGCGCCGGTAGCCCCTCTCCAGAAGTTGCTTGTGGGTGTCCTGCATTAACAGAGCGTGTCCGTTGTGCACCGGGTTGCGTAACTGAAATGCAAACACGGCATCTGAAAAGAGAATTTCCAGTGTTAAGAGTAGAGCATTTGGAAAGAATCACTCAAAAAATAGACAATCCTTCCTGAAGCTTGATGCTTAGTATTACATAAATATGCGCATGCTCAGAATAAGAACCTGGTGGGGGAAAATATGCACTGCTTTGGCCGCTGACTCTAGGGCGATATAACCTATTTCTTCTGCATCTCCATTATGCAGTACTGTGTGTGCAGGAGGTGTAATGTCACAGTCAGTCATGGAGGTTTAGCAATTGTTTCTGCATTCATGGGAATCTGGAGAATGGTCATCAGACTTTCTGGTCCCAGGATCCTGGTTCAAGTCTTTGCAAGAGATGTAGACACTTGATCTGTGTCTTAATTACCTACCAGGTCAAACCTCCAGAGGAGCAAAGACACTGCTTTATAAAGGGTGGCAAAAAGGCAGAAAACTGTGTAGCTTCACAATTTTGGTAGTGCATAGGTCAGCAGTGATGACACCATGCTCTGAGGGAGAAAGCTGACGCTTTCTGCTCCCATGATGCTTTACAGCCTTGGAAACCCTGTAAAACAGCATGGGGGTGGGGGTGGGGGGTATTCTACTACTCTGCCTACAGGGAGCCTTGGTGG